AAGCTCAAAAATAGAGGTGTATAAACGCTCTTTGCTCTGCCATTTTCACTTGTCTAAGTCCATATTAGGTGCAGCCAACTGAGAAATAATTTTTCCAAATTGCATGGAGAGTTTTAACATTGTATATGATAAATAAACTTTAGGATTTTTCTCTTTATTTGTTGTGCGAGAAGATTACTTCAAGGTATTGTCTGAAGAGTTTTATCTAGGCTAACTAGAGTGCATATTTTGAAGAATTAAGCTTAAAGATAAAGATTAAAAAGATTTTGTTAAGACCTGTATTTTGAGTTATTTTGTTAGACTTTTTACTTTTGCTATGAGTTAGATATAAAATCATATTTTATTTTTTTATTTTGAGTTTTATTATTTGAGTTTTGGGTTTTCCAAATAAAATTGTGGCAATTTGCTATCTGTCACGAAAGCTCTTAGCTACTAAAAAACTGTCGCTAAAAGCCCAAAACATCTGTCGTTAGTTCTCTTCTTTCTTGTAGTGAGTGTTCACATATATAATAAACATATGTGTTGGATAAACTTGCATTAACATGTAATTAATGGCAAATTAAAAGAGCCTGAAGTGAAATCAATTAACTTTTATTAGTGCAAAACATAGTAGGAGTTGTCAAATTGATTTTCCTAAAGCTTGATTACATATATTCGGTAAATATATACAAATTTAAAGCTCTTAAGGTTAAAAAAAAATTAAGAATGAAGTATAAAATTAATTATGTAAAGTTATTTAGCATTTTCAATGCAATTGAAGATGAAAGATACTTCAAAAAAGGTTTTAAATAACATGAATAAGGAGAAAAATAAATCTTTAAATCAATACCTTCTTATACGCGTTATTAGACACAATTATTATATTCCAATTTTATCTACCATAATAATAATAGAAATTAAATGTGCGACGAATTAAAAACCTAATTTTGTGCTTTATTTAAAATATCATTTGAATGACTTGTGGAACGGGAATAAATAGATCTATTGACCTATGATGAATTATATTTTTTCGATACACTATTTATATTGCATTGAATGCTAGGCCAATCATTAAAGATAAAAATACATCAAATCTATACGAAGTTTTACCATGAGTGGATTAAACCGAATTGAAAATCTTGAGCCCAAAACAAAAAAGAAAAAAAAGACCCAACAACAAAATATTAATGATTAAAAACCCAAAATCAAATCCCTTATTCAAGCTTTTACTTTTGTCTGGTCTAAACCTCTAATTCAAACTCAACCCAACCAAAAGAGCAAAAAGACTAAACCATATGTCGCTTAATCCAATTTGGAATCAACTCAGACCTACATGCAGCTTGGCCCAGTCCAAAGATTTCAGTAAAATGGCGGCTTTTAATTCATCTTCCTTGTTTGGCCATCGAGCTTGAGAAACACCAGATTCTATGTCTCCTTTTGGAGAAGAAGACATGATAGCAAAGGTAGCAGAAAGAAGTGACAGAAAGGAATTTGGTGGGAGAGGAGAATTCGTGACAGAGCATTTAGAGCTTAATCAAACAAAGCTAGTCTTGCCTTAGACGATCATGATACTTGTGTTTTGCCTCAGACAACAATCACGCATATTGATTTAACAGAAGAAATTTTGTATACTTTCATTTCATTCTATTTATCGAAAATGTTCAATTAATATCTTTAAAAAATAACCGAAATGCAACTTAATTATAGAACAGCAAGATAATATTAGTTGTTTAAACAGTACAGATAAGTTGACAGACTAAAGCGTTATTCCTCTGGAGATGGAGCAACTTCCGGTGGTGAGGAAGGAGTATTTGCATCCTCTCGGAGAAATCCAAATTTCTTGATGAGCTCATTAGCGATTAGCTCGTTAGCTCGATCAGAGGGATGATACTCATCCCAAAACACATACTTGCTTCTATCTTTACACAGTGTTGATGCCGGTATACATGTGAGAGCAGGTCGAATCCTTCCGAAAGAACAGCATGGGGAATCTGAATTATTAAATCCTAACAACAAAGAAAACAAATTAAACTCATGATACATACATATTAAAGTGATTCTCAATATTATAAGAGCTACAAATTAATGTGTGTATATATATATATATATATATATTATATACACTGACCATATTTTGATGGATTGCTAATCACATCACTAACAACATCGTAAGCATCACCAAATTTGTAGCTTGCATTAGGAGTCTACTCCCAAGATCTTGCAGTAATTGGCTTGCAGCTTTGTTGAAAACTGATAACAAGTTGTATGTCCTTTCCCGGCATCCCCAGAAGTACTCGGACCTTTTGTAGGGGAATGCAACCATTGGCCCA